AAGTACATATAGGCAGAAAATAGTCATATGAGCGCATGAAATACATATGCAAAATGTGTATTTTATATTCCTATCAACAACACTAGCCTTAACTACATAAATCTCATTTCTCTTAACACCTTTAAACATCACAAGTGATCATCTCATCACTTTCAACAAACCATCGCCAACTTTACCTTGTAAGCCTAAATTATTTAGGTTTCCCATTGAAATCAGATTCCTGTTTAAATCAAGAACATATCTTACCCTTTCTAGGGTAAAGATATACACAATTTCAAATTTCAATGTTACATTACCTATGCCTTCAACTCTACAGGCATTGTTGTTACCCATGACAACCTCCCCACCATTAATCCTTTTGAGGGAGCCAAACCAACTCCTTTTAGGAGACATATAGAAGGTGTAACCAGAATCTAAGATCCATTCTTGGATCTGATTTCCTTCATTGACAAAATTGGTAAAATCATAATCACATGAAGGTTCAGTTACCATATAGACATCAACATTATTAGATTCATTAGGTTCAACTACATTTCCTTCATCAATACCTTTTCCTTTCTGTTCATTTTTCTTTTTATGACAATCTTTTATAAAATGTCCAATTTTCCCACACCCATAGCATTTCTTATTCCTAGTTTTAGACTTAGACCTACCTCTGCTTTTAAACTTCTTTTTATTATTGTTTCCCTGATTATTAAAGCCTTCTTGGTTTCCACTAAACCTGTTTTGGGTCCACTCCCTAACAAATAGAGTCTCAGACCCACCATTCCCCCTTTAGACCTGAGTTCTGGCTTTCTACTTCTCAAAGAGTTTATAACTATATCAGAAGTAAGAGTATCTCTACCATATTTTATGGCAGCCTTAACATCTCTATAGGTGTCAGGAATGACATTCAATAATACAACAAACTCATCAGAGACTTTTATCAGCATTGGTGATATCTTGAACCAACTTATTGAAGGTATCAAGATTGTCTTCTATATCCTTAGAGGTGTCTAACCTAAAGCTATAGAACCTCTCCAACAGAAACCGTTTATAAGGTAAGGACTTAACTAGTAAAGCTTCTCTAACTCATCCCATAAGGCATTAGCATTCTCTTGCTTTCCTACTATCCTCAAGACTTGATTAGACAAATGCAGAATAATAGAAGTATAAGCAAGTTCATCAACTTTAATTATTTGATCAGCTGTCATAGTTTCAGGAAAATTTTGTGTTATTGCCTTAGCAATTTGTTGTTGATCAAAAACGCCTTTCATCTTTTGTTGTCAAATGGGAAAATCTCATTTTCCATCAAAATCTCCAAATTCAAAAGTATGTGTCATATTTTATAATTTAGAAATAACACAAAGCATTTCAAAACTATAAAACTATAACAGCTGATGTACTTAAGAAAACAGTAAGTTGATCTACACAAATAGAGGAACGGTATATAGGTCACAGTGAATAAGCAGTAAACAAATATCACAGTTATTCAAAATTTTCAAAAGTATCCAAAACAAATAACACATTCCAAAAACAAGAAAGTACGTGAAAAACAAGTGAGATAGTATGTCAAAAAACAGAATGAAGAGAACCAACTGCAGTCACCCCAAGGATGATCAAATTCACCAGGATTCCGTGAGACTCTTATTCTCAGGTCAAGGCACAATTTGATCACTTAAGGTGATTACACAAAAAATGCACAGCAGCAGACAATATGCAGACTCAGTCGTAGGGAAAAATAGTGTTAGAAAATGCCAACCAAATGGGTGGTCAAGGATCCTTAACCACTAATAGACAAACCAGAGTGCAAAAGGGGAGATCGAAAGGTCACAGCAGAAGGGTGGTGTACCACTAGAAAACCACAAAGGAGATCAATAACAAGAAAACACCAACACCCCTCTCAACCAAAACTTTATATCAGTACTCACAAAACCCCAAATCGAAAGAAAAACCAAACCTTGGGTTTCTTGATTTTCAGGCAATCGAAGATTGAAGACTGAAAATTAATTTTCCAGCCTCCAAAACTCGATCGAAGACTCAGGGACAACCAAGAAAAGCTCTAATACCAATGTTATACATTCCTTACAATAATGAATACAGATCTACAAATCTCGAACACCTATTACAAAAGATTTTCCCTAACACAACCATTGGACATCAAGGAATCACAAATCGAAGGCTTAGAACACAGTACCCTTATGATTCATCACCATGAAGCCCAGATTCACCCAAGAACCCTCACGATACACAATTAATGCGAAGCTTCTTCTATGAGCCAGAAGAGCTAAACGCTACCAACAAACAACACCTCTCTATTCATCTAATCTCACATAGAAATCACGTTCAAGAAACAGATCCAAGAGCTCCTCACAAAAGAAGAAGAAGATGAACAAGAGAAAATCAGAAGACTCTAGAACCCCTTGAGAAAACAAAGAGAAAACCAAATGAAAGTTAATCTCAAAACCATTCCAATCCAACAAATATCAAGGCATCGAGATTGGTAGCAGCCTCATCCAACGGCTCAGAGAAACTAACACTTTCAACTGAATGGAGAAACAACTAAAAGTGTTTCAGCCAAACACGCTTTCTTACTGGATCGAGTATTGGGCTAAGGGTTTAACTGGGCTCACTTCATCAACACAATGGGTATTAGTAATGGGCCGAAGCCATATCATCATCGCCTTAGGTGGGTTGGGCTGGCATCACAACCTCATAAGTCCTTTTACTGCTTACAATGTTCAAAGTAAGGTTCATGTTTGCATCCGTCTGCCAGTTCTTGTGTTTAATTACGCATTTCTTGATTTAAATGAGATTAATTATGTGTCTCAATTATTGAATTGTTGTTTATGTTTATTATTTAAATAAAATAAATAAAATAATAAACGTGGAGGGGTTCTTTATTTTATGCTTCATTATTATATGTTTTTTTAGAAGTTTTAAATTGTTATGATATAATAAATTTTCAGAAATTCTTTCACTAATTCTTGTACATTCTTAGCAAAGATTTCTTATATCTATTCTTTTGCCGATTTCAATATCCAAAGCCTTGGACGAAGGAGCAAAATATTCTTACTACTTTACTGCGAGGGAGCAAAAGTTTCACAAGGGATCCAGGCCAAATCGATGCACGATGGATGGGAAAGGTTATTGGAGAATGACGAGCAGTATCAATGAAATCTTTGACATTGATGAATCCCCTCTCGGAAGAAGCACCCTTGTTTATTTTCGAAAGACAAAACAAGAAAAAAGAATTGGCGTAAAGACTAATTGGATTATGCACGAGTTCACTGTAGATGAGCGTTTACTTCCTCTCTCAAACTATTGAAGATAATATCAAATCAATATTATCTTGATTGATATTATCTTTATTTGATTTTTATATTTACCTTAATCACTTTGATTTAATTTGATTCACAATATATTTACCTTTTCTATCAATGTAATTTCCCTATAAATAGGGACATATGCTTTGTATTCATCAATCAATTCAATCAATAAAGATGTAGCCATTATAGAATCTCTTGCTCTCTTTCTCTTCTCCATCTTCTTCTTTCTACATTGTATTTCGTTATTTATCACAAACGGTGCATCATTGGACAAGAAGGTTTGTCATCTTTACTGAACATATATGTTAACTGATCAAATGAATTCAAGTTCGTAAAATTACTGCACACATTTTATTCTTTACAATTCTATTATATAAATTGAAATATTTTTAAAAAGTTGCTTAAACGACTAAACTATTTTGTCTCTCTATATAGGCGAATGACATTGTGCTTTGCAGAATCTATGAAAATAGCGAAAATAAAAAACAAAGGAAGAATGAAATGAAAGAAGATGAGTGCATTGCACAAGGCCAATTCTACAGCGATTCAACATTGGATCACTCAAATTCTGGCAACAAGAAAGCTATAATTTCCCTACCGGTTCATGAATCTGTTTGTAATAGCAATTTGGAGGCTTCAACCTCTGAATTTAATTGGTCCGGAGAATCGATGCCTATTTTCACTGAAGAAGAAGTTGATTTCCTATCAAGCTGCTTTTTGAACAATAGCTATATAATGCCACTACATTCCAATATCAACTGACATTCTAAATGTTCCTTTTATATTACTTTGTAAACATTGTAATCTGTACCAAAACATATCATTAATTGTAATAGAAGCCTTGATATTATGTTCTTTACGTTTCTTTTATATATGTTTTGCGTGATATAGATTTGTGATAGATTCATTTAAGAATTTGTTTTTTATGAATAGAGTACTCTTATTGACTTAAACCGTATTAAGCCACATTTTAGTGGGGATTAAAATTAGATTTTTAGTGGATTTTCATTAAAAAAAAAATCTGATTTAAATCAATACCGAACAAGGGCTAAATATGGCAACTCAATCCTCAACGAGGTAAATGTATATACTGGATGTCGGACACATTAGTTGAATTAAAAATATGTTGCTTCACTAGACAACTTCAACCTACACTCGGTTATAGGCATTCGAGCCATGTGGCATGCCAAAAGAGTTCGAAAAATACGAAGCCAATGTAATGCAATCCTCAATGTTACAACCCCAACGAACCCGAACTAATCTGGTAACAGTATGCAGGCCGCAATAACTGATAACTTGTTAGCCAACATCTTCGTAATAATTTTGAACAAAAAGTTGTTCAATACAATCAGCCAAACTAGCTCAGGTGAGTTTGGTTCCGGAACTTTGGGAATCAGAGTCATGAAACTAGATTTAAAACCCGGTGTGATTTTTCGTATCCTGACAAATGATTATACTGCTCGAAGGACGTCACTGCTTGCAGCCTTGTACTCGAGCGCCGAGAGAAAAACTCTCTCCTTAATCACCACAAGTGACATATTATCCTGCCTAGACAGTAAACACCATAGAAAGGGGCACTTCATAAATAATAGAATAGTCATTCAAACCACCATTCTGAGTTAACGTTGTGTTAATCAGCTTAGAATCAACTGTGTGGTCCTCATCAATTCAAGAACGGTCACCAAATTTTATGGTTTCCTTTAGCCATTTATTACGGGTTTGGTCCATAATTAAATCTCCTATCTATGAAAGTAAATGTCCAGACCTGAGTGTATTTCGGCCTCTTGAAAAAAGCTCGT